ATATGACAAAGATTGCTTGCGCAAATCTAGCTAATCTGAGCTTCTGGTTTGCAAGGTAGGAGAAGCAAAACCCAAAAAGATACAGAAGAAATACACGGGAGAAGAAGGAAAAGAATTAATCGACAGCCAAATAATGTCTAAACCCTGCAACTCCTACTTTCTTCTCCATGTCCTTCCCTTCTTTTATTCTCTTTACTTTCTCTCCCTTTCCATCTCCTTGGCTTCCTTGTCTTTACCCACACAATTCACTGTCTAGTAATCTATCCTTCTAAACCTTCTCATTTTCTCCCAGCAATCACACGTCGTCGTCGTCGTCGACTCGGGTTTTTTCAGGAGTAAAGAACAAGTTTGAGGAGTAAGAAAAAGTACAGAGGAAAACCCATATATTCTATCTCTCTCTTTCTGATCTCTCTTTTTTGTTTCTGCAATGAGAATTTTCTGAGCTTTTTAATGGTGATAATTGTTTTAAGATTGGTTTTTCTTATCTGGGTTTCTTGTTTCTGTGGTGATGATTACAGGGTCTTATGAAGAAATCAAACCTGGAGAGTATAGATACTTGGTGGAGAATTAAAGGCTTGTTTGGGTTTGGGTTTCTCATTGTGGGTCAAATGGGTTCTCTTGGCGTATTGGAGAAACTCACTGGTTACGGAAGATATGGTGGAGATTTTGATAATCAAGTACTCAAATTCTCTCATCATCAACCTCTCCGGATATTTCTCTTCTCCTTTAGCTTCTTGTTATGGTGTTGATGGCGATCACGGCGGCGGTGGTGGCGGCGGCGGCAGTGATATTGGCGGGACGGCTCAATCTCTTATTGTACTGAATAGATTTTTTACTTTCTTTTTTTCCCTCTTAGATTTTTCTTATTTTCTTCGTTTTCTTTTCGGCTGATAATGTTGATAAAGCAAATGGGTATGAAAATTTTATTATCAGCAAACTCAATCGCCTCTTCCTCTTTCTCATCTTGATTGTGGTTTGGTTTGACAGTACTAACTTTTCTTCTTGGTGTTATATTAGTTACCTTCTTGCTGTTAATTTCTTAAAAGGGAAATCTCCATTTTTCCGAGAAAATTTACAGAAGAAAAGAAAGAGGAAACTGAGCTATGGAAGTTTGGTGAGTGAAGATTTAAAATTTTTGAAGGGGGACCCCTTAAAGATGCAGAGACTTCAATGCTGAAGCTCATCAGCACTATTCTATTATCAATTCAACATCACTGTCAGTATTTTGAATATCTCTTTTTTTAATTAATTAATTTACTGTATATCTTCTTGGGAAATGTGGTATCTTTGAATCCTTTTCATGGTGCTGTAATCTTCAAATCTCAAATCCCCTAGCTTATGTTATGTCACCCATTGTATAACCTACAATACATACATATATATATATATACACCGTAATAGCATCAGCTTCTTCCTCATGTGAATTTCCTTTTCTGTGAAAATTTCACTCTAGCTAAGGTAGCTACTTCAGTATATTAATTACTGTCCTATTTTTTCTGGATTTGCTTCTGGATTTTCTGGGTTATATATATATATAATTATATGTATGTATGTATATATATATATATATAGGAATGGAGGTACTAATGATATATTATGGTGTTATTGGGTTATGGAAGTGAAGTGACAATGGAACTATTAGGATTCAGATTTCATGCAATAAAAACTGAAACTGCTGATCATATAGGGCCCTCTCTCTGTCCTATATATACAATGCCCGGAGTATAGTGTTTATGTATGTATATATATATATATACATATAAACCATTTTATCTATAAGGTTTTGTATGTATTACTAAAAAAGCACAGATGAAATGAGAAGGCAAAGACAAGGGCAAAGACAAGAAAGTTGAGGTGTGAGTGACGAAGAATCACTATGCCATTGTCCTATACTACTATATTGTAGATTACTCTAACATATATATATATATATGTATATGTATGTCTATGTACATATATATTAATCAGAGTTTGTGTGTGATGTTGGGTTTGCTGTGGGATGCACGTGATAGTCGATGTGGGATCACTAGTTTTCAGCTTGTTATTCAATGGTGGGTCCTTGAGAATTTTCCTGTAATTTCCTGGAAATTGGACTTCATTAGAAATTCAACAATTTAGCTTGGTATATGTATATATATGTATATATATATATATATGTATATATATATTTACAAGGTGATGAATTAGGAGGACAAAGGTGCAGGCAGGCATGCAATGCAATTCGAGTAGGTAAAATGTCAATTTCAATCAAAATCCCATAAATTGTTTGCTCCTGCAACTTCCCAATTCTGTGTCTCACCTTTGTTGGATAGCCCAAATAAGAACTATATAACATAACGTCTTCACCTCACCATATATTTATATAGATATAATTTCATAATTTTTTATAAATAAATAATTTGTATATTTCTTAATTTTAGAGAAATAGATACATTAATTATAATAAATAAATAAATACATAAATAAATTTTAAATAAATATATGTATTATAAAATATAATTTAACTCAAATTAACAATCTTCTATTAAAAGAAAATTAAGTGTTAAATTTTCTTTTAAACATTTATTTAGTGGCATTAAATTTCAGGGGCTTCGGCTTTTAAAAGCCACTGCTACCTGCTACTACTCAATAAAATCTAACTGTAATTAAATGTTATATAATTAACCAAATTTATATTATTTTCAATACATTTTTAACCTTTTTTAGAAAATAAAATTGACAGAAAATAAATAAAATGTGATTAAATTATTATCAATATGTGTATTTTATTTTATAGTACTTTCATAAAAGTGTTAAAATATCTAACCAAGTGAATCAGTAGATTGAAAATCAAAATGTGAACCATATAATATTTGGTATAAAAGACAATAAAGAAAGATGACAAAGACACAAAATTTCAAACCTAAAAATGAAAATCTTACTGTGAACCTGTGAATTAAAGAGACATCAAATTTTGGAGTGCTTAAGACCAAGAATAATTGTGACTAAAATCAACCAACAACAATATGACAAAATATTAATTTAGTAGGTTTTCTTTAAATAGCAAGAAAGAAGATTATAATTGCTTTAAGATAATTAGTGTGTGATTAGTGCTAATGGTTCTAAAAGTTCGGTTTACTCTTAATTAATTTTAGTTAATTAATTATATATATATATATATATATAGCAACACGAAATGGAGCAAATGTGAGATGGGTGTACTATTAAATTTATATACTTTTACTTTACGTACCTTTTTTTTTTTTGGTTTTATAATTTTTTACTCACTTATTTCGTACCCTCTTAATTATAAGTTTTTACATATTTTATTCACGATAAATTAACGAATTATCTACCCTAATGTCCTATACATATATATATATACTCTTGAATAATGTGAGCCATTGAGTTATTTTTTTTATGTATCTAATGACTCACTAATTATAAATTTTTACATACCCTATTTATAATCGATTGGAATAAATTAACGAATTATCTACCCTAATGTCCTATATATATATATATACTCTTGAATAATGTGAGCTATTGAGTTATTTTTTTTATGTATCTAATGACTCACTAATTATAAATTTTTACATACCCTATTTATAATCGATTGGAATAAATTAACAAGTCACCTAACCGAATGTCCTATATATATATATATATACTCTTGAATAATTTGAGCCATTGAGTTATTTTTTTTTATGTATCTAATGACTCACTAATTATAAATTTTTACATACCCTATTTATAATCGATTGGAATAAATTAACGGGTCACCTAACCGAATGTCCTATACATATACTCTTGAATAATGTGAGCTATTGAGTTATTTTTTTTATGTATGTAATGACTCACTAATTATAAATTTTTACATACCCAATTTATAATCGATTGGAATAAATTAACGAGTCACCTAATCAAATGTCCTATACATATACTCTTGAATAATGTGAGCTATTGAGTTATTTTTTTATGTATGTAGAGCAACTTACTACAATTTATGAAACTCCAATTAGATTGAAATGCAAAGAACCTACTAACAAAAGTAACATGAAGGGTCAATATAAAACAAAAGTAAAAAGTATATATAAGATTTTAGTCATTTCCACATAGAAAATACTTTTATTATTATTATTATTAAGTTTCTTCGTTTAATTATGATTTGAGGGAGAAGTGCTATTAGGTAGTGGGTGTCAGCTAATCTAGACCGTCCGTCAAGGCCCATTAAGAACATTTTCGCATAATCTTGACGGACCCAGATCATTCTTGACGAAACCTTGTGGACTAGCCCAAAATTTCCCCTCCTCTCGCCATTCTATTTCAATCACTTGCTACGCTTCAGAGAACGGCAAGGAAGTGTTTTTAAAATGAAGTTGAAAAATATCAAGTTGAGGAAAAGTAAGATCTTTAACATAATTTTTTTAGTTTTATTTAAAAATTACGAATTTAAATTTCAATTAATATATCGTTACACCATAAATATATTGAGAGTAGTAGTGGTCTTTAATCTACCCTAACGAGACTTAAAACTTAGTTAAACTTTTTTTTCATGCACATTCGAACTCAGAAAACACTATTTCGTAGAGTCATTAGACACTTTGAAGATATTGATGGGAACCCTTTTTTAACTTCTCAAATTTAGTAGAGCATTGATTAAATTCAAGCTTAAACAAGTTATCAATATTTCAATTCATAAATACTACTATTTCACAAAAATAATAAAAAATTCAAATCTTCATTTTTATGTACATTCGGTACATGGAATTTATTTTTTTTTATTTTTAAAGAGAGCATGATATATGTATGTATATGTATCAAAATGGAGAATTTAATAATTTTAGTGAAAGGGCACGGGGCAGTAGTGTGTACTTAAGTGGGGTCCATCAAACAAGTCACAATCAAATAGATTGTCACTCCAGATGGTTATCGTACACGGACCCAGAAAACTCTCATCCATTATCGAATATATTCCGCCCGCACTTCTTTCAACTCTCCCAAACTCAAATCAAATAAAATAACAATACAAATACTATTTTAATTAAAGCAAATATGGTGTTTATTTATGAGCTACACCCCAACGGAGATCGGGCCAATACGACAAAATCCCCACTGTTCCGTAACCCCGTAATAAACCAAACCCAAAATACAAATTTAAAAAAGTATTGTTTATTAATACGACAAAACAGCCAGATAAAGATACTGGCTGTGACTCACAGACACAAAACGACAACACCAACACTTCTTAAGCGGAGAAAACGCAGGGCGAATAAACCACCGCGCCGCTACCCGTCTCCTCCTCCTCCGCAACCTCCTTGCAACACGGCTTCGTCACTCTAGCCGGCGCGCGCATTGTACACCCTGTCCCACTTGCCTTGTAAGTCCAGTACACCACGCACCCGCCACCTGGCAATTTCTGGCTCACCGTGTTCCCACACGAGTACCCTCCCACGTCAGCACCCTTCTTCACCCGCCACTTGGCCCCACTCATACCACTGCACGTGAGCGCGACAGAAAATTCGGTCGGAGAGAAACAGTTGAGCACCCTCTTGATCAGCGGCTGTAGCCTCACCGAACCTGGGTCCAGACCCATAGCCTCGTAGCTCGCGTAGCTGAAACCATCCTCTGGGGTCACGTGCACCGTAGAATACGCTGCACCGTCGATTCCATTCATGGAGTATCCACAAGGGTCAAAATCAAAGTCGCATATCACGTGACCCGGGATTATAGCAGATATCCCGGACAGCTGGGTCATGTCACGTGCCGAGTAGTCTTCCGATTTTTTGTAAAACACCGCCGCTTTTTCCCGCTCCAACCCCGTCATGCAAATCTCAAGAGTAACCACGCCCGTCTGATTTTTCAACGACGGTGATCTGGCCACTGCCCAGTACACGTGCCAGTTGCGATGAGGATCCGAAGCATCGCCCATGACGTAAGCCTCCGACATCAAGTCGCCGAAGAATTCATTTAGTACGGCCACTTCCTCAGCGAAGCTGCGGTGCGGTGCAGGCTGGTAATTTGGGAAAATAAAGCTGCCTCGAGAGTACTTCACAGACGCCACAGTGAGCGAGAGTGAGTCAGCGAGTTCAAGGATTCGAGGGATGGATAAGAGCAGCTTGGTTGTCCCACAGGTTTTGAGTATAATCTTCAATGGGTACACGAAGAGGCTTGACTCAGAGAGGACGTACGAGTCGAACTCATTGTTGGAAAGCTGAGAGACGATAGTGCAGCAAGCGGGCTCGATGATTGAGTCGAGCTGAGACCGAGTCAGGGCGCGTAGCCCGTGTCCGCCAGGATCAGAGAAAATGGATGGATCAGAGAAGGTGATTTCGAGGCGTTTTTCGAAGCCCTCGAATCCAATTGGCGAAGGAGGAGGCAAGTTTTTTGACAATGAGTCCATGGTGGTGAGTTGACTCGAAATACCGGCGAAAATGTTTTCAGAGATTGTTCTATGAGTGAGAATCGGTAGTAACAGAATGGGAGATTGTTCAACGATTGTCTACTGTTGTTCGATTATTGAAGAAGAAACTGTAATGAAAAGAAGACTGAAAGAAAAGAAAGTTCCTACTCTATCGCTGAAGAAGACATGTATAAAGTCGTATCAGGATGGCTTCCTCACGCACTGCAAAACAGAAAATATAACCAACAAGAAATTTAAATATACAGCGAGAAGAAACCGATATAAGTTAAACAAAAACAGAGGAGAATTATCAATGGAGGGGATGGTGAATGAACATACGTTGGAGTAAGCAGCAGAACGGAATTTCTCGATGCCACCGTTTGGACGAACGTCTTCAATGATGTAGCCGAGAGGGATTTCGTACTGAAAGGAATTACGACTACTGGATGACTTCTTTTTCCCGCCTTTGGTCTCCATTGTTACAACATTCACGCTTCTGTAATAACAAAAACAAAACAAGGAGAAGAACAAAAAAATGTCAGGATTCGAATAGATTTCCATCAACAATATTCAAAAATCACATTAAACGGATTCCATTTGATTAAACCCCCCAAATTCCAATATTAGACCAGAATTTTCTCTATTAGCATCCGTAACAAGAATCTCATCCCGAGGAAACGCATGCAAACATGAAAACGCCATAAATCAACAAAACAGAAAGAATCCGATGCGAACAACACCGAGAAGAAATCTCATAACGATAACAAAGGAATACATCA